TATTCCTAATATTCATAAGACTAGTAAATTTCAATTTCCACTGCTATGGACTGAATGTTTGTGTCCCTCCACCCCAAAATTCATATGTTGAAATCTAAGACCCGGTGTGGTTGTATTAAGGGGCTGGACCTGCTGGAGACGCTAGCTCATGCTGGTGAAGCTCTCTGGAATGAGATTAGTGCTCTTATAAAAGAGGTCCCACGGAGCTCTTTTTCTGCTGTGGGAGGTCACAATGAGTTTTGGCCATCAACGAAGAAGGAGGATGTCACCAAACACCTACTCTGCTACAGCCATGATCTTGAACTTCCCAGATGCCTCAACTGTTAGAAAAAATGTTTGTTGTTTATAAGCTACTCATTTTACGGTATTTTTTGTTATAGTAACTCCAACAGAATGACATCCAGAGTGTACATCTTCAACAGAATGTAAATTTTTTAATCATTTTAATTTTTGTCAGTCTGAATAATCAAAAGTCCTCATTGCTATTTAAAATGCATTGGTTTGATTCCATAGATATTGAGGAGTTTTCCATAGTTTTATATATATCTTTTTTTCTGAGTTTATGCTGCTCTTTACTCAATTTTCTGTCAGGGAACTAATCTTACTGACTTGCAGTAAGTTTTATTTAATAAAATGTTGACATTTACCTTGTAAGTGAGTATTTTCCAAATTGTCCATTACCTTCTATTTTATTTATGCTTTACTTTGATGAGCTATTTATTATATAAAGTTATACTTCAAGGCTTATACCTTTGGGGTCACATTTGAAATTTCAGGCCTCTATTATAATCTTATTTTACTCTAAATTTATATAAACTTCACTTAACATTGCATAAATACATTAACCATCCATTTCTTTTTAATTCTTAAATCTCTCTAGTTCTTTAGAGTTACAATTGTGTCTCCTCCCTGAACCTCATTCTAGCTCTTTCAAATTTATGTTTTCATAAATCTCAACCTATTTATATTCTATACCAATCATTATTTTTCATATTACAAGAAGGCAATCCCTTCTTTCCTTAGTTTATTGACTACTTTTCTTAAAGGAACAATTGTGCTAATTTCTAATCATTGAAACATTTTATGGAAAAGTAAAATACTGGGGTACCAGGGTGGCTCAGTTGGTTAAGTGTCCAACTCTTTGTTTCAGCTCAGGTCATGATCCCATGGTTCGTGACTTTGAGCCCCACATCAGGCTCTGTGCTGACAGCACAGAGTCTGCTTGGGATTCTCTCTCTCCCTCTCTCTCTGTCCCTCCCTTACTCTCTCTCTTTCTCTCTCTCTCTCTTTCAGAATAAATACATAAACTTAAAGAGAAGTATACTTTGTTCTTGATGTTAATCTTCAATATCATAAAATTATCTCTGTTTCTATTCTTTTCTGTCAGGTCAGCTTTGTCTAACGTAATTTATCCATTTTGCTTTCTCATGATTAGTGTTTACATAGTATAACTTCTTAGGTTTTTTTTTTTTCTTTTTTAAGTCTGCCACTCTATATTTTATGTGCATTTTTTGTAAATATCATCTAGTTGGGTCTTGCTTTTTAATCCAGTATAATAATTACTACTTTTAAAAAGAGTATTTATTCCATTTTACATAGTTTTACTTATGTAGATATAGTTAATTTTACCATTATATTTGTTTTATTATTTATCTACTCTGTTCTTTCCCCTCTCCTTTCTATTTTAATTTAAATCAATTGATTATGTTTTAATATTTCACTGTAACTCTCCCATTAACTTAGTAACTATTTTCAGTAAATACTTTTGGCTACTCTAGAGTTCATAGTATCTTTACTATGTTTAAAAGAGTTGCTGAAGGTCTCTCAATAAGCTTGTAGAGTGGAATAAAAATCAAAGTAATAATCTCTATCTTTAAGCTATCTTTTAACAGGTTGCCATTACTTGGGCCCATATAATCAAATGAAATAGAGCACTCACTGATGACCAGGTCTTTACCACATAGATGATCAATCTGTGAAGGCTGTGAATCATAAAAACATTTGAAGAAGATTTTTTAAGATTTTTTTGTTTTAAGAGAGGCTTTTTAAGTTAGGTTTCAAAACTTGGCTAGCTACTTGTTAACTACTAAGTTAACTACTTGTTAACTACTAACTTATAAATTTTATCTCTGAATTTATTTTTTTTTATCAAGAGTCAGAGACAAGTGAACTTATTTCATGTTAAAATTAAAGGAGAAATATCACAAATAATATATAGGTGCATAATAAATATTCATTCCCTTCCTAGATTTATATACTTTCTTTTCTGCCAGAAGACTTAAAATGTAAGAGAAATGAAAGAAATGAACTGTGTGCTTTTATTTTTTTACATGTTTATTTATATCCTGTTGCAGGGAAGATTTTAAAGAAATAAGCCTTCAGCCTCCTTCCTAAATGATAGTATTTGTATATGCATTATAGTTAACTTTTAAAATGATAGATAATTAAAAATATACTATTGTTAGAAGTAGGTATCTAATCTGGGTTGATTTATATTCAGCAGTATAGTATTAAGCCAAACAGGTTGTGAATTAAACTGCTTGTATTCCATTGGGATAATTTTGATTATTTTAAGATAGAGAAGCCAATAACAAATCTTATTGGTTTTGGTCAGAATAACTGATACCAACTATGTGTTGCTTGATTTTGTGTGTGTGGGGAATTTTATAAGTTCTGTTTAAATTTCATTAGACCAAAGTGCTCTGAAAATAGTTAAGCTCTAGCCAGTCACTGAACTAATTCTTTATCAAACCCATCAGTCTTTTGAAAGTCCATATTTTGTGCCTGAATTAAACATAGAGATCCTTTGAATCATTTTATGGCTTTTCTGGTAATGAGCTAACAGAAGATATCCTACCTAGTTAACTCTGCTTAGTATGCTTTGTATTGTGAGGAGCGTGCTTGGGATTTTCAGTCTCCCTCTCTCTCTGCCTCTCCCTCTCCCTCTCTCAAGAATAAAAAAAAGAAAGAAAGAAAGAAAAGAAAAGTTACTGAAAGATTCTCTGTTCTCAATTTACCTTAGCCCATGAAGGCTAAGTGCCTAAGTATACCTCCCTAGGCATAATGACATTTTTCAATGCTTAAATTGGTGATTTAATAAATTATCTTTTGTCTTTTTTAAATCCACAGAACATCACACCATCACAACTCCAAATATGTTTCGCGCAAACTATTGGAAATGTATTTAGTACAAAGAGTGGAAAAATATTTTTCTGAAGGAATGACAATGGCATCCTAAATTTATTTTTATTTTTATTTGATATTTAAAACCTCTTCCCCTTACCTAAGTGACCCACATGTTGTTTGTATTTCTTCTTTCAATAAAAAAAAATTCTTCTCAAAGTGTGGAGTACTTCAGAAGTTTACACAACAAAGGTCTTTACTAGAATCTTTTCCTATTTCCACACATAGAGATGTGAGTCACATAGGAGGTATTCTCCTACTAGCATGGCCACTGTGTGGCAAAAATGCCATCATTTTTTAGCTGAAGTTCTATTGCTTTCTTTAGAAATCATAGTGCAATACAGATGACTGAAAATATTTGTGCAGAAATGTCAGACTGTGACAAGAGATAACAAGTCCACAAACATGGTTTTGAGTATATTCTAGACACTAGATTCTTTGTCTCTTGATTCAAAAAGGTGCATATATAAGTTTTCTTTTGAATGAAAAACCCACATTCAGCAGAGCTTAAAGTATTACAATAAATAATAATTAAAAATAATAGTAACAATAATAAATCATAACTCATTGCATATTTGTAGAAAGTTTTAATAGTTTTTAAGAAACTTTCAGTCTCTAATTGTAAATGTGGGTAGAGTAAGTTTGGGGCATGGTTTGACATTATCTTGATATCTACACTGGTATTACATATTTTCATACTTTATTTTTCCGGACATGATTTTCAAACAACAAAAAAAAAACATTTATAAAACAAGCTGATGGTATCTCAGTGGACTGAGGCTTTGCCCTAGTTTATTCTTCTTTTTTTAATTTTTAAAAATGTTTATTTTTTTTTTTTAAAGAGATGATGCATAAGCTGGGAAGGGGCAGAAAGAGAGGGAGATACAGAATCTGAAGCAGGCTCCAGGCTCTGAGCTGTCAGCACAGAGCCACACATGGGGCTCAAACTGATGAACCAAGAGATCATGACCTGAGTTCAAGATGGACTCTTAACCAACTAAGCCACCCAGGCACCCCTACACTAGTTTATTCTTAACAAGTTTCTTCCTGCAATTAAAGCGATGTCGAAAGAAAGACAAAAGAACAGAGAGCAGTTTTACTGCAGTATTGTTTGCAGTGAATTGCTGCAGTGATATTTCCATTTTTCATTCATAAAACAAACAAAAAAAGTGCTTGGTGCTTAATAACACCCCAGGGAACAGGGTAAAACATGTATTCAACCTAGGCAGTCAGTCATTCAACTCCATTGAATCCATGTACATAAATTGAGTTCACCAGTTAAAAGGAAGAGTGAGTTAGGTGTAATGTGGGGTGAAGAGAATGATTCTCTAGGGAAGAAAGGAGAAATTAATTTTCCTCAAATATAAAAGGCAGACACAAAGAAAATGAGATCATCTCATATGGAAGCAAAAAAAAATTACTTCAAAAGAAGAACTAAATCTAAAGATTGAGGAAATAGTCCTTTATGTGAAATGTTTATTAAATACAAAGAGTTAGAGACAAAATTTGTAGAATGGCAGATTTTACTGTCATTTTATAGTAAGTTTATTTTGGGTTGTATTTTAAAAGCCATTTTGTTTTATTTCCATATTTTTAATATTTAGGTCATCACACTGACATGTAAACTACATTATTATGAAACATAAAAGGATAATGGATTAATATAAATTATACAATGGATATTGGCTAACAAACTTCTTGGTACATAAGAATTTGGTTAAGTTGATTTAGCACAATGCACCTTTAGTGTTAATTAAAGTTGAATCTTTATTTTAAATACCTATAACTCACATCTGTTATTCTTCCTTTCAATTCTTCCTTTCAATTCACCAGGACTTCAAGTAATTTTTAATGTATTGACTCTATAGATTCACGATTTTTAGGAACCTTCAGAATTAAAACATTTCTCTACAAATATATCCCAAATACGGAAATGAGAGGAGTAAGAAACATAAGCAGACATATTTTTTAAATTTTTGTTTCACCAACTGAGTCATAAAGATAATAATTTTTAACATTTCATATATGTATTCCTTTAAATTTCTTGCCTTCATTGCTGGCTCAAAAAAAAAAAGACTAGAATATTACTTGATTACATAAAGACAGCACATGCAAATCTAGATCAAAAGAATCAAATCAGTGTCATTTTTCACAAGACTACCATAACTATTGTTAGGATAATTGTTGGAAATATTATGATTTATCTTACATGATAGAAGTCAGTTTCTACATCATTATGACATTTTCCTTTTGGCGGCTATCAGAAATTTAGAGGAAATGTATATATGTACTTTATGTTAGTATACAAATTACATTAACTTCACAAGTTTTAAGAAAGAACGTGAGAAAAATGACATTAATATGATTACAGATTTAAAGTACAGAAGATGGACACATATTTCAAAAATACATTCAAATTTAAAGTTCAAGTCGAAACTTGTAACTTCTAGAACCATTATTTTTTTGTCCCACAAGTAAACATTGAACTCTAGGAAATTCTGCCAGCACTAAAATTTCACATAATATACCTGAAAAAAATAGAATTTACCTTTCTTAATATATGAAGATGGATACATATGTGAGTGAATATGAAGCCAATGATGAAAATTTTACTTTTGCATAATGTTCGACTCTATGGCAGGTGTGGGCACAGTACTGCACATGGAGCCAATCAGCCTGTTTTTGTAGATAAAGATTTATTGGAAGACAGCTCATATATTTACATATTATCTATGGCTCTTTTCACTATTATCAGCAGAGTTAAGGAGTTACTCTTTGTTGTTATAGACTATATGGACTTGAACATATTTAGTATTGTCTCTTCAGAGAAAGTTTATATACAGAATTATAATAACTTAATCAATACAATAATATAATAAAATGAGAACCAAATATAGATTTAGAAAAACATGCATTTATCAGAGATTTTCCATATGAAGAAAATGCAACTATTTTTGTATTTATGTTTAAATAGCATTGAATTAGAAATCGGTGTTGAATTGAGGGGCACATGGGTGGCTCAGTCGGCTGAGTGTCCAACTTGGGCTTAGGTCATGATCTCTGGTTCCTGAATTCAAGCCCCACATTGGGCTCAGTGTTGTCAGCACAGAGCCTTCTTGGGATTCTCTGTCCCCCTCTCTCTCTGCTCCTCCCCCACTTGCACTCTCTCAAAAAGAAATAAACTTTAAGAGTGGCTCTGTTGCTTAAGACTCTGACTTTGACTCAGGTCATGATTTTGGGTTCCTGAGTTCAAGACCTATGTCAGGCTCTGTGCTGACAGCTCAGAACCTAGAGTCTACTTCCCATTCTGTGTCTCCTCTGCCTACCCGTCCCCTGCTCACATTCTGTCTCTCTCTCTCTCTCTCAAAAATGAATAGACATTTTTTAAATTTTTAAGTGGATAAATAAACATTTAAAAAAGAAATCAGAATTGCATTGATTATAGTGGGTTAGATATTTGAAAAGACTTCCTGGTCTCCATGGTGTATATCCACATAAGTCTATATAATAAAGTTAAGAGATGTAGCAACTGATAGAAAACACAGGTAGGCATGGGAACTCACCAGGCTTCTAGGTGAGCTCCGTGAGTCTTTTCTTGGTTGCCGAGGATGTGCTTTTGGAGGGGAATCTGATGATTTAGAAAAGCTACTTAATGATTCCTTTCAGATAGACAAGCAGAAATTAATACTGTCTTCCTAACACCTAAAGAAAATACATCTATCTATATGGGATTTTTATTGTAAAATTATTTAAAGCTCCAGAGATCAGAAGGCAGAGCTGCAAGTTCAGTATGTGCCACAAGAGTCTTTTAATTCTAAAAACAGTAATTCAGAGCCATATGAAACTCTTCACTTCTTAGATATTGGAGAAAACTCAGTAGTGGTTAAGCAGTGATAGTGATATATAAAGTTGTAACCTAAAGGCATGAATTAATTTAAATCATCTAAGAATTTCATAATCTCTATGAATTGACTGAAAAGCTCTTCTAGTTTTGGAAATTAGTTTTAACTTTATTTTAAAAAAGACTATTCATTTTACTAGTGTGTGGGTGTTCTAAAGAAGCATTTCCTTTGATGATAAGTTCCCATGAGTTGCCCTCTTAAAGGTTTAATTGTTGCTAGCCCTTTATTATGATCCAAATTTGATACTTTTAATGGAAACAATATCTACAATGGAGCTCTTGAAAATACATTGCAGATATAATACAGTTCTTTTTGGGGATTCAATGTAGGTATAAAAATGGATGGTTCCCTGTTCTGAACAGTAAGTGTTTCCTCCTGTGAATGTTTTTTGAAGGCTAGCATCAGTCAACTCAGCTGTAGCTGGGGAATCAAAAACCAATTCTATGAACAATTCATTTTTTTCTTCATTTTACTATTAGCATCAGTTTTGCTGGTGTTGTGTCACCACAACAACCATTTCCAAATATATGGAACAGCGTGTTTGGTTTCCTTAAAACCTGAAGCAGAAATAGCTAAGTTCCTCTTTTTAAAAAGTATTTACCACATCAGTTCTCCAAGTACAAGTGAAATCAAAAAAGCACTGATGACAGCTTACAAAAATGAAAGAGTCCTGCATTTGTGAGAACTCTGTTTATTGAGCATGTCCATATTCCTTGTTTTCCAATATGAGGGGAAAAAACAGCACTGCATTGTAAAACAATTTTTTATTTTTTTCTATGTCTGGATGTTACCATGACTTTATTGGCTAATTCTCCAGGAAATATCAATTGGCTCAGACTATTAGATATGTTTCCATTTAGTTAACACATTCAAAATAATTATCTTGTTTTTGTATCTTTGATTCAGATAAAGTTTAATGTGCATTTGAGTATGACAAACCTTTAATAGGCATTCTTTCAGCCTCTTTGATATGAAAAATAAGTATCATTTGCTATATAAATGAAGTGAGTATAGTTTCATAAAATCCCTATGCTTTCTTTTGAAATGACTGCCAAGTTCTATAGGGAAATTAATTTCATATGTCATTCATATTTTAACATTTGTTTCACTTTATTACTTTTTTTAATCTTGCCCAAGCAAAAGTTTTGACTTAGTAAATAGACGCTGTATGTTAAGGTAGGAATACCAGAACAATCATGAATATTTCTACCTTGAGGAAGATTTCCTATTTTCATGTGGGAGAGATTTTTAAATGATCTTGTGAGCTACTTTGAATATTACATATAGCTCATTGTTACAAAATCACATTTATTATGTGAAAATACTTATAAAAGTTATCACAATGCAATTTTAAGGCATGTTATAATGCATGAATATTTCTTTTTTCTTTTGTCAAGAATCCTCTATGTATATTCTTTAAACAATTTGTTTCTGTATATCACCTCTTATTATTATTTCTATTATCACTTTATCCTTTGTGAGAATTTTTATTTGAACTGCATGATGAGGTATGATTCTTAAAAAGCAGAATTAAGATGCCATAAAAGCCTGTTTGCTTTAAGAATGCTATGAATTTAAGTTATTTTCTTAAGATTTTTTACAGAAATTCATTTCATGGTCTTCCATTATCAGTTTGAAAAAATTTTACTCTCAGTAATATGTCCTATCACTCTGGTTGAAATTTATATAATTTTGTCAGTTGAAAATTCAATGAATAATCCTCTTCTTATAATGAATAGTTCATAGCTTTTTAAAAAATAGAATGTGGAGAAACAAATATAAGACCTAATTATTCCTTTGTACCCTTCCACCTTATCGTTCTGGAGAATTCTGAAGAACTTCTATGGAAGCATCTCTTAGGAAGAAAAATACAAAGCTTGAATATATGAGGGAACATAAGATGATATTAATACAAATAAACAAGAAATGAATAGTTACTTTCTCACACATCATACTTTTATTTTATCAAGAATTCTAATTGATATGGCTTATTTTGTTAGTAAATTGTGATTATTTCCATTAGTTTTTCCTAGTATTTTTGGCTTTCTTTAAATTTTGGAATAATTTTAGCATTCACTCAAAAATATAGTCTAGAAGCAAATAATTTCATATTATGACTGACTTGGTAAGTTTGGTCTTATGATTTATAGCAGATTAACATGATCAATATGATTGTGTATCTGTGACTATGTTACTTGGCAGAATTGGGTTATTATATAATCACTAAAACTATTCAGTAATTGGATGAATCACATTTAGGATTGTTGTCATTGTTATTGTTGTTTTTCTGAAATTAGAACAATTGTAAGTTAAAATAACAGCAACCACATCAAAAATAATTCTGACTCAAACTGACTAATCATGAAGGACACACATGATTTCATGTATCTCCCATAATAGGACCTCCAAAGCCAGATCAGATTTGAGGGCTGGCTTATTAAGTGATTCAATGATAATAACATTAAACACAAAGTTTCTTGCTTCTCTCCTGTCTGGCATCCTAAGTAAGTCATTTTTACCCTCACTCTGGATCTTCTTAAGTCACTCATGATGGCTGAACCAGAAAATGTTCATAGATGACTATGTCTAGAGACAGAAAAAGGAGTAATAAAATCATGAACACGTGTTCCTCCATCAGCCAAATCTAAGCCAAATACCCACATATTTAAGGAGTCATTACTGAGTCTGACCCTCTCAATTTGTTCTAAGCAAGGGAAATAGAACCAATATAGTTGGATTTTACCTCATAAACATGATCCACTGAGTTTGGGAGATGGTCTTATGCTTTGGAGGTGTATAGAATAGAGGTGGACCTCACAGTGAAATCAGCAAAATGTGTCTAAACTAAGGAAGTAGAAGAAAATGAATGTTTGGTAGAATAATAATATTTTAACAGTCCACAATATTTCAAATTAACAGCATAATTTTGCTTAACACGTACCTATATAGATGATCTGTATATGAGTTGTCTCCCAAATTTAAAGTACTACACATTCAGGAAATACTGTTTAAAGAAATCTAAAACAAAGGCTTGGAAAATAATTCCATTCTATTCCTTCTAACTTGATGTAATACAGGATAACTGTAATCTCTTTTCTATAAATCAGCCTTACACATTTTGATGAGGGCTTATCATTTCTTTACCAATTTTGTCTATTTGGGGCCAAAGATATCTACTTTGGTAAAAAAGGAATCCTACAGATTACATTTATAGACTCCTTACCTTCCTCATTATTATCTTACTATTGTATTCAGAAACAAACACAGTGCTCCATTCTCCAGATAAGTATATCCTCCAGCAGAAGTCTATTCTCCCTTAACCAAAAAGAGAGTGACTGACTTAAGTTCCATTAGCTTTATTCACCATACACGTAACATGTATCTTTCAAGCTGAATTGTGGTAAATAAATTCTCATCATTTTACACACAAAAAAGAGGAATTAAATATTTTAAGACTATTTTTCTTATAGCCTAGTTTGTTAATTTACTGTAGTAGCTTAGATTTATTTATTTCCTTAGATATGTTAGTAAATAAATTCTAGGAGAAATGTTACCATTATTAGTATTTCACACGGTGGTGCACTTAATCTTAATAACTCTCTGGGATTTATTTTATACCTAATTTACGGGAGAGAAAAATGAGGTTGAGCAATGTTAATTCCCTTGCACACACTTACAAAGCTAACAACTGGTGTATCTAGACTTCAACACCACAGGTATTTGACGTCAATGCCCATGCTGTTTCACATTTGTCTCTCATGTGAGGAGATATCAGAAAAGTCCAATAGCTAAATAAATGGTGAAATATCATAAATAAAAGCTTCTCTTCGTGTTTTCTTTGGGAAATAAATAACTACTAACATTGTGATAAAATGGTTCAGTGATCAAAATATTTGGGAATGGTGGACTAAAGCATGTTGATTATTTTATATTAGATTTTTCAGACACTTGGATATCTTCATGCACATTATAGCTTTGAAACATTAAGAAATCAGTATAGAATTACATCTAGCAAAAATGATTTTATCACAGAATTTTTGGTCATTCATTTCTTTTTAGTTTTCGCATAATTTAACCCATTAAGAAACAGACTGTAAATAATATGATCTGCAAATTAAAAAAAAACTATATATTATAGAAAATATCAGACCTATACAGTAGTAGATAACATTGTTTCTTTGAAACTATCCAGCTTTAAAAATTATTAATTTGTAATAGACTCGCTAAAACCTACCTCAGGAAGTTTTTTGTAGAAAATACCAAAATTTTATCATCTTATTTAAAATATTTTAGAATTAATTTTGAAATCATAAAATATGTTTATAAAATAATCACTTCATCAAATTAAATAATAATATCTTATACCATAAAATATCTAGTAAATTTTTGGGGCTCCTGGGTGGCTCAATTGGTTAAACATTTGACTTAATCAGCTGTCTGCTGACAGCTTAGAACTTGGACTCTGCTTCACATTCTGTGTTTCCCTCTCTTTCTGCCCCTCCCTGGCTCATGCTCTGTCTCCTCTCAACAATAAGATAAAAACTTTAATATTCTCACCCATCTCTACACACAAAGTACACAGCTTTTAACACTAAAATATAATATACCTGTGCAGTTTTATCTTGTTCATGATACTACCATTTTTGCCTCAAATATGAAAGAATACAGTTTAAAATCTATCTGATATTGATAACACTGAATATTTTTAAAAGATGAATTTTCTAGAAAGACCACAAATACATGGAGGTTAAATAACATGTGATTAAACAATGAATATATCAACAAAGAACTAAAAGAAAAAATAAAAATGGAAATAAGTGAAAACAAAAATACAATGGTCTAAAACATTTGGGATGTAGCAAAAGTGGTTGTAAGAGGGATACAGGCCTACCTCAGTACAGGTCCACCTCAAGAAGCAAGAAAAATATCAAATAAACAACCTAACTTTACATTGAAAGAAGCTATAAAAAGAACAATAAACAAAGCCAAAAGCCATCAGACAGAAGGAATAATAAATATTAGAGCAGAAATAAATGACATAGAAACTAAACTAAAAAGAATCAATAGAACAAATTAATGAAACCAGGAGCTGGTTCTTTGAAAAAATTAATAATGTTGATAAACCTTTAGCCAGACTTACCAAAAAGAATAGACAAAGGACCCAAATAAATAAAAGTACAGATGACTGGGTGGAAATAACATCCAAAACCACAGAAATACAAATATAAGAGAATATTATGAAAAACTATATGCTAAAACCTAGAAGAAATGGGTAAACTTCTAGAAAAATATAAATTACCCAAACTGAAACAGGAAGAAATAGTAAACTTGAACAGACTAATAACCAGGAAAGAAACTGAGTCAATAACCAAAATCTCCCAACAAACAAAAGTCCAAGACCAGATGGCTTGACAAGTGAATTCTACAAAAAGAAAAGTTAATATCTATCTTCTTTAAACTATTCCAAAAACAAAAGAGACTAGAAAACTTCCAAATTCAATCTATGAGCCCAGCATTACCCATTACCCAGGTACTAAACCAGATAAAGACAACAACAACAATAACCGAGAGAGAGAGAGAGAGAGAGAGAGAGAACTACAGGTTGATATCTCTGATGAATGTACATGTACAAATCCTCAACAAATTAATAGCAAACCAAACCCAACAATATATTAAAAAAGTCATTCACCAATATCAAGTGGGGCTTATTCCTGGGTGGCATAGATGGTTCAATATTCACAAGTCAATCAATGGGATACATCACATTAATAAAAGAAAAGAAAAGAATCAAACTATCATTTCAATAGGTGCAAAAAAAGTACATTTGACAAAGCACAATATCCATTCATGATAAAATCCCTCAACAAAGTTAACATACCTCAAAATAATGAAGGCCGTATATAGGAAAAACAACAACAACAACAACACACAGCTAGCATCACACTAAATGGGGAAAAACCTCAGAGCTTTTTCCTTATGGTTTGGGGGAAGACAGGGATGTGCAGTCTCACCCGTTTTATTCCACATAGTACTGGAAGTCCTAGCCATAGCAATCAGACAACAAAAATAAATAAACGGCATTCAAATCAGCAAAGAAGTAGTAAAATTTATACTATTTGCAGATGACCTGATACTCTATACAGAAAATCCAAAAAAAAAAAAAAAAAATTGCTAGAACTGATAAATGAATTCAGTAAAGTTGCAGGATACAAAAATCAATGTACAGAAATCTGTTGCATTTCTATACACCAAATGAAGCAGCAGAAAGAGAAATTGAGAAACAATCCCATTAACAAGTTTGTTGAAAATAATGAGATACCAAGGAATAAACCTAACTAAAGAGGTGAAAGACTTGTGCTCTAAAAACTATAAAACATTGATGAAAGAACTTGAAGACTACCCAAAGATATGGAAAGACCTTCCATACCCATGGAACAAATATTAAAATGTCTATATTACCCAAAGCAATCTACATATTTAATGCAATCCCTATCAAAATACCAATAGCATTTTTCAAAGAACTAGAACAATCATATTGTATAGAACCATAAAAAGTCCAGAATAGCCAAAGCAACCTTAAAAAAGAGGTGGGTGGGATGATGGGTTAAATAGGTGATAGAGCTTAAGTACTGCACTGTAAGAGCACAGGGTGGTATTTCAAAGAGTTAAATTACTATATTGTACACCTGAAAATAACATAAAACTGTATCTTAGCTAACTGGAAATAAAATAAAAACACCAATGTACACATTTAATTTGATCCTTATCAAAATGCCATCAGCATTTTTCACATAGTAAGAAAAAACTTTAAAAAAATAAATGAGATAGCACAGTATAAATTTTTTTTTTATTTTATTTTATTTTATTTTTTTTTTACAAATAGTTTATTGTCAAATTAGTTTCTACATAACACTCAGTGCTCATCCCCAAAGAAATTTTTTAAGTGCTTTTGATGAGGAATTATATACTTGCCACTTTCCAAATCAATGTGACACTGGAAAGGTTTTGTTAAAAATATTTTTAAAGTATAGTATTGTCCAAATCACTGTTTTCAACACTTTCTTCATTGTTGCCATATTAAAGAGAAAAAAATAAGTTTAATTTGAATTTCACCAAAAAATCAATATTAAGGAATAGAATTTTGTTGGGTAGAGTTCAGTATTATAGGGTCACAAAACATTGCTTTTACTGAGAATTTTTTGGTCTCTAGGTCCAAGTTTCATCCACCTGGAAGAGCTATCATTCACATTAAAAATGCATGGCCTATGGAACAACAACTAAAGTGCAAAATGAACATCACTTATGAGACAAAAAGGTAATCCATAAATGGACTGTATTTAGAAAAAACAAGCTTTCAAAAATAAGCAATTAAAAGCACCAGACATTATACCAATGCACTGGCTCCTATAAATAAAACTCTTTACTATTATTTTAGCTTGATAATTGTTTAATATGTGAATAATTTTTTTCTTTCATCAGTTACTTACTGAGTACTTTTTAATGTTGCAGATGGAGTTCTAGACATTGGGGAAATGACTGTTAGTGGAATAGAAGATGGCTCTCTCTCAGGAAGATGGACTCCAGAAGATGGACTAAACAAGCGATTAATTTAAAGGGTGTTAAGTGCTCTGATATAAAGCAAATTGTTGGGTAGAGGAGAAAGAGTCATTACGAAACCCAGGAAGAAATGTTGTTAATGCCAGAGAAAGAATTGAAATGCTTGGGAGCATAAGAGGTAGAAGTAAATGCTGTTTTGCATGGGAGTAGGGAGGGCAGAACCAAAGTGGGGGTTCAAATGCAAGTTATTTTAGGAAGCATAAATGCTGATGTGAAAGATACAGTTGAGAATGCCCAGGGTATTTGAGAGTACAGGCAAGGAAAGATACAGGAAAGAAAAGGGAATTACACTGTGTGTGTGTGTGTGTGTGTGTGTGTGCGCGCGCGCGCGCGTGTGTAGTATGTATATTTCTGATTTAGAGAATATATATCGTTGATCTTAAGATAGCAAATTTAGAATTTGCTTTGCCATTGTGTTTTTCTATTCTCTGTTTCATTAGTTTGCTATTGGAATCATTATTTAATTGTCATTGCCCCAAATTTTCTTGATATTATTTTCTGTATTGGGTGCCTAATTCATTTTCTCTCTTTAATAATTATTCCAAGCGAGGTGCCTGGGTGGCTCCGTAGGTTAAGCGTCCGACTTCGGCTCAGGTCATGATCTCACAGCTCCTGGGTTCGAGCCCCGCATCAGGCTCTGTGCTGACAGCTCAGAGCCTGGAGCCTGCTTCAGATTCTGTGTCTCCCTCTCTCTCTGATCCTCCAGTTCTCATGCTGTGCCTCTCGCTCTCTCAGAAATAAATAAAACATTTAAAAATAAAATTAAAAGTATTTCAAGAGAATAATGTAAAAGTCAATGTCTTTAGTTTCTATAAATTGACATTGTTTCCCTAACTTTGGCTGGGGTTATAAAAAAGAAACGGGAAATTTATTATATTTTTATTTTATAATAAGATTTTAGTAAATGAAAGATGCCACCATAGAAATAGCAGTGATTTTTCTCTGAAAACATCTATGATTTTTAGAGAATTTAAATATGAAGATTGTATAAAAGTTTGTATATAATTTGCTCTCTAGAATTGATTCTATAACATAAAAAGTAAGCCCTTTTGCTATCAAATACAAACAACTATATATAAATAGACATATACATTGATCATCCAGTTTCTGTCTTATAAAATATAGGATAAGGATATTATATAATTCAGTAAGCATCTGTGCATCATTCACAATAGCCAAAAATAGAAACAACCCATATCCCCATCAACTAAGGATAAACAAAATGTGGAATACCTGTGCAATGGAATATTTTTCAGCAAATAAAAAGGAATGAAATACTGCTATATGCTATCCTATACACAAACCTTGAAAACATTATGCTTAGTGAAAGAAGCCAGACACAAAGGTCATATATTATTTGATTCCATTTCTATCAAGTGTCTAGAACAGGCAATTCTACGGAGACAAAAATGGAGATTTATGGTTACCAGGAGATTGGGGAAGGGGAAAAAGAAAATGACTGCTAATAGGTAAGGATTTCTTTTTGAGATGATAAAACTATTCTGGAATTAATTAGTAGTGATGTTTGCACACCCTTGTCAATAATAGAAAGCACTGAATTTTATCCTTTGAAATGATGAGTTTTATGGTATATATCTCAATTTTTAAAAATTGGAAAACAAAGAATTCACCTGGTTTTAACAAACATGTATTTGCTTATTTAGATCTTTTTAAAAATCTCTTACAGAGTATGATTCTCTTACAGAGTATGATAGTGAACAGTTTTTCAGGCACTATTCCATGAGGTCCAATTTTGGTGAAGGAAATAATTATAAACATAGAACAGCTTTCTATCTATCTGTCTATCTCTCTATCTCTCTATCTCTCTATCTATCTATCTATCTATCATGAACAAAATATGAGAAACCACAATCATGGATTTAGTAACTTTGAGATCCATGATCTGGCTATTTTCACATTTATATCCCACTTAATAACTTTACTTGTATAAGTGCTTTGACTTTCTATTTCACTCATTGTTAGCTACTCCTTGTTACCACATTTTAAAACTGTGCAGTCTGCAAAGCTGTGATGTCCTATTATCTTGTCAGTTGAAAAGGAAGATTTGTGCAAATGAAAGTTTATGAGATTTGTCTTTAGGGATCCATTCCTGTAAATTATATAAAACTTAGACTTCTAGTAAAATGACATTTAGAAATACTCGTGCATACATCCATTTGAACTAATAAGTCAAGTTTTACTTATGTAATATATTCCAATCACATGGAAGCAATAAAAGTAAGTGTGATCTCAGAAATGGTGCTATTACAATAAAATATTCTGCAATAAAACAATACACAGCAAAAATATGAAAGCATAAAAAGTATTGTGCTCTTGATGCCTAATTTACCAACATTTCATGTCAGCAAAATTTTTGAAGATTCATTCCTTTTTTAAGTTTTCTTTTTAGCAAATACTACATAGAATAAATTTGACCAAAATGATATACTATTCCCTGCATGGTCATAGAATGAGTCAAATAAAGGGAAAGATATGCTGAAAAATGAATAAATGGTCTACAGCACATTTTAATAGGAACGTATACATACATTTTTAGTGTAAATTTACTGTATCAACCATATTCCTTTTCTCAAGTAAGTAATGTGGCCGAATATTTTTCTCATACGTTCTTTTTTTCCTCATGTAACCTAGCAATATAAAAGATGAAAATAGAGTTGAAATATACACCCGGTGATTCATTTGCTCCATGCTGTCAGAGGGACATTGCTGGTATAAAGAAAGAAGGCAAGTCATCTGATTTAATCCCTTTGTTTGTGTGGTAACTGAACTTCTGACTGAACAGACTTTTTTTTTTTTTTTCTAAAAATAGTGTACTTATCAATTGGATTTTCTTAATAGAATGATTCTTGTTAAAAATTGCTTGTAGAAAACAAACCCAGAAGCTAAGGGTTTATTGGTATGGCTCCCTCGGAAATATCATGTAAGCTGAAGTACAAATAGGTTTTATAAGCTAAATGTTTCCTGATATCTGCAGTAATAACGCATATGCCTCAGATAGAAACCTCTTATTCTAGGGCAGAGTTCTTGTCTGAGTCAGGAAGGAAGGACAAGGAGAGTCATTCTCAATGGCCAGACCTCTTTCTACTTGGCCTGTTCCACCTAATTGCCTGAATCCTTGAAGTTACTAATATATTTGAGACCAATTGAGATCTCTAATATATGAGTCTGAAGTGACAACCTAACCTCGGTGTAAATTCAGTATGAAATGTGCACAATTACTGTTGAATGCAAATTCTCCCCACTAGTTAGTGAGTTCCATAAGGACAGACTTAAAGTCAAACTTGTTCGGGGGCGTCTGGGTGGCTGAGTACGTTAAGCGTCTGACTTCGGCTCAGGTCATGATCTCACGGTTTGTGGGTTTGAGCCCCGCGTCGGGCTCTGTGCTGACAGCTCAGAGCCTGGAGCCTGCTTCAGATCCTGTACCTCCCTCTCTCTCTGACCCTCCCCTGCTCACACTCTCACTCTTCCCATTTGGCCAGACCTCTTCCAAAGTCTGGAAGAGTGGTTTCTTCTCTCTCTCTCTCTTTCTCTCTCAGAAAAAAACAAAAACAAACAAAAAAAAAAACATTAAAGTCAAATGTTCAAAGATCATCATTCTTTATAATGAATAAATAATAAAAACCTAATAACTATATAAACTAATGATATAATAAATGTCCATGCAATTGTCTTGTTTTGTTTTGGCCATCATTATAAGATAATCAGAGCACTAGAACATAATGGCCCTCCTGTATACAGTTTCCCTAAAGTCCAATATATGACAGATTTGTTATAATTTTTAGTTCTTCCAGAAGTTTTAGTTATAGAACATGTAAATTAAAAGGCTGTTTGAGATAATTAGATACAGAAAAACCTGGAAAGGAGGGTAGAGCAGAAGAGGAAAATCAATGTGGATCAGATGTAGAATTATTTGATATTATTACTTTTGTTTAATAAACACTCCCTAAAAGGTAAGAGAACTAAGGTAAAGGACATTTAGGAATCAGTCTACTATGGAAGCATGTGTAATAGGTTATGTGCAGAGATATTTGTTAGGTGGATTGACAGTGATAATAGGAATGACAAAAGGGATCCAAGAAGCTAACTATAAAGAGTAGTAACAGATGACATTGTCAGGTGCTTTCCATATTTAAATCATTTTGTCCTCCCACAAATCACTAAGGTAGGCTACCATTACCTCCCATTTTAAACACAAAAAGATGATGTTTAAATGCAATTAAGTAACTTGTCTAAATTCACAGAGCCAAGAAGTGTGATGTGACTGCATAACACACTTTTAAAACTATTTGGTGCTGAATATGATAGACTGAGACCAATAGTTTGGAATAAGATTTTTAAAATACTGAATATTTTGGTGGAGTATCTAATAAAATATATAATTAAGCAAATATATTGGGAAATGTTTACAATTTAGAGAAAAAATAGATGTAAGTGGAAGTTTATATGTTGTTGATGACCTATTTTATTGTATTAAATTATGATTTTTCTTAAGTATGCAGGTTTTATTTTGATGAATATATAGCTTTCAGACATTTATCATTATTCCCATTATCTGTGATGTCATGGCTTGTATTGCTGTAAAGTATTATGTTATATTATACATTACATATGTTATATATATGTTATAAGTTTAACATATATAATGTTTTGTGTATATATATAATAAGTATATATGTATAATATGTATAATTATATAAATTATAATATAATATAATGTATTATATATGTTATATTATGTATCCTTATTCAAAAGAAGTTAAGTTTATTTTCTTAGAAATTAGAGATTAATTTCTTTGCATAGAAAAATACAAGTAGATGTATAATGTTAGGTTTACTTTAGATTATAACAGTTAAATAAAATATTTGGCATGATAAGCCAGTGTATTCACCAAATAGGAAAATAATCTAGATATTAATACAAGCACTAATAAGGTAGGATTTATATCCCCCACATTACTTGTTTATGTCTTAAATCATTTCTACTACTCTTTTCTTCAACCAATGACTTCTTTTGTATTAAATATATATTTAGTATTATACAAAATGCTTTTAATCCCCCCTTTTTCTGCTCTATATTTTTGTGGTTATTTCATTTTTGTTACTACTACAGAATGAATGTTTGTGTGCTCCTCAAATTCATATGTTGAAACCTACTGTGATATTCGGAGGTGGGACCTTTGGGAAGTGCCTAGGTGATCAGCATGAAGTGCTCATCAATAGGAAAGAATGGGCTCTTATAAAGAGTTCCAAGAGACACCACTTATTCATTCTACCATGTGAGGACTCAGCAAGAAGGTGACTGCCTATAGACCAGGAAGCAGGCCCTCACTAGCAGACATGAATGTGCCAGGCCTGATCTTGGACTTCCTAGCTTCCAGAACTGAGAAAGAAATTATAGTTGTTTAAAAACCATTCAGTCTCTGGCATTCAGTCATAGCAGCTGGAGAGGTCTAGGAAGGAACTTCATACTAAGAGGTGATGTGCTACTGGAACAAATATCTAAAAATTTGGCAGGAGCTTTGGAACTAGGTAATGAGTAGAAAATGGAAGAGTTTTGTGGTTTATGCAAAAAAATATCCCACGTGGTCACAAAAGAACCATTAAAGGTGATTGTGGTGAAAGCATGGAAAGAAAAGAGGAGAGCTGTAAGAAAGCTTCAAATTCCTAAGAAAATGTCTAAGTAGTCTAGAGCAGAATGGTGGTAGAAATCTATGTGTTGAAAGCCAATCTGATGAAGTCTCAGACAAAAATGAGAAGTGTGTTATTGGACAATAGAGGAAATAACAATCCTTGTTAAGAAGTGTCACGGAGGTTGGTTGAATTGTGTTCATGTCCTAGTGTTTTGTGAAAGGGAGAACTTGTGAAAGATGACATTGGATATTTAGCTGAGGGAATAGCTAAGTGACGTGCTGAAGGAGTAGTCTGGTTCCTCTTGACTACTTGTATAAAGTGGGATGAGAAAACTTAAGGTTGAAATTACTAATCAAATGGAAGTGGATTTTAAACATTTTACACCTTCTCAGCCTATCCATATAAAATGAATTAGAAGGCCTACTTCTTGAAGAATATTAAGAATATTCCCAAAGAACCATCTCAACAGATACCAGGAACTATTTTTCAAGACAATAGGAGAATAACCCTCATCACCATCAAGGTGATTCTGAGAGCCTCAGAGTTGCTACACTCACCCAAGATCCAGAGTACAAAGGCCCCATGGAAAGAGGAGCTTCAAAACAAGAGTTGCTGGTGTTTGTGGGACCTCAACCTGCCCTGCCTGGTGCACACTGCCGAGTGCAGCTTCACATGGCAGCCTCTATTCCTCAGTTTGTTCCTCTGCCACTTGTGGTTCCAATGGGCTGCAATGCAGTGTGGGCTGTGCCCATGAGAACCAAGGGGCCCAGTTAGAGAATCACCACTGGGATAGGTCTTTTCAGAGCCTTGTGGGCCCAAGCTCTGCCTTGCAAAATCTTGGGGCAAGATTTCTCTTGCTGCCTCAGTCAGTCCAGAGGGAAGAACATCAAGCCAAAGAGGAATAGTCTGATATTCTGTAATGGAATTTGCCGCATTGGATTTTGAATTTGTCTTGGCCTTGTCACTCTTCTTCTTTCTTTCTCCCTTCTGAAATGGAAATGTCCGTCCAATGCCTGTCCCACCATTGTATTTTGGAAGCATATAAATTGTTTGATTTTTTGTTCACAGATGGAGTGCAATTTACCTCAGGATGAATCATAATTTAAGTCTCACCCGTATCTGATTTAGATGACATTCAAATATGACTTAAATCAGGTCACCTGGGTGGCTCAGTCGGTTGAGCATCTGACTCTTGATTTTGACTCAGGTCATGATATCGGATTGAGCCCCGTGTCAGGCTCTATGCTAAGCATGCAGCCTGTTTAAGATTCTCTCTCCCTCTGCGCCTCTCCACTGCTTGTATGTGCTCTCTCTCTAAAATAAATAAATAGATAATAGATAGATAGATAGATAGATAGATGATAGAGACTTTGGACTTTAGCTGATGCTGGAACAAGTTAAGACATTTGGGACTGTTGGGGTAGAATGAATATATTTTGCATGCAAAAAGAAAATGCATTTTGGAAGGCCAGGGTGGGATGCTGTAGACTAAATGTTTGTGTCCTCCCTAAAATCCATAAGCTGAGATCTAATCATTAATGTGATGACATTTGGAGGTTGGGTTTTGGGAGGTGCTTGGCTCATGAGGGTGAAGCACTCATCAATCAGATTTAGTGCTCTGATAACAGAGTCCCCAGAGATATCCCTCACCTTTTCTGCCATGTGAGGACACCGAGAGAAGATGGCCATCTGTGAAACAGAAAGCAAACTCTGAGAAAAACTAAATCCACTGACATCTTAATCTGGGAATTCCTAGCCTCCAGAACCAAAAGAAATAAATTTCCATTGTGTACCTGGTCTATACGGTATTTTTGTTAGAGCAGCTGAAGCAGAATAAGACAGTTATCCTGAAGATTACAATTTGCATATCAATTTAAATCAATCTAGTTTTTTAAAATATTAACCTAATTTCAATGGTATACAGAAGGCTTGCTCTGTTCTCTTCCACTGTTGTGCTATTACTGTCATCTGAATTAAATTTTCTATAACATTAACA